ACAATCATATGCCTTGGCAACGTCCATGAAGACGGCGAGTGTCGAGAGTCCGCTGACGCGGTGGTGTTCGATGTGGCTTAATAGGTCCAAAACACTGTCCTGGGCACTCAGTCGTGGGCGAAATCCGGTCATACACGGTGGCCATCGTCTTCCTTGTTCAAGGTACCAAGTTAATCTTGTACATATTAATCTTTCCATCAACTTAGATACGCATGATGTTAGAGATACCGGTCGATATGACGCGAGGCTCGCAGGATCCTTTCCGGACTTTAGGACTGGCACCACCCATGCTGTCTTCCAACAAGTGGGATCTCTCCCGTGCTCCAGACATGATTAAATATGTCCAAAAGAGCCCTTTTTCGCTCATATGGTAGATTTGTCAGCATTTGATTGCTGATCAAATCGGGACCCACGGCACAGCGTCTTCTTAATTTGCTAAGTGCCATATCCAGCTCTCGGAAGGTGAATGGCGTATCCATCGTGTGGAAAAACTGGGGTGACAGAGGAATCGCCGCTCCTGCTGGCCTACCAGGTATGTACACGTCTGCGAAATACTCTGCAAGGGTTTGCAAATCTATCCCTTGTTTCAAAGCGAGTGCTTCGAATGGCCTGTTTGTTCGGATCTTCCCAGAAAGACTATTTATTACTGCCCATATCTTTGTCAAGGGCGTAAACGTTGATAAACTCTCACAGAAAGCGGCCCATTGATTTCGTCTTAATTTTTTGTATGGCGACGAATTGCAGCGTTTATCCTGTTATATTCGGTTTTCGCAGACGGATTTCCTTTTGTTCTCATTATTTTCCGCTCCGCTCGTCTACGTGCTGCGCAGAGGTTCTTCAATTTCAAGTCTAGAGCAGGAAAATGGTCAGGCAGTTTCAGCAATGAAGTTGCTGATCGCTTGCTTTGCAACATATCTGCAAACAGCTCACCAGTGGATTTGTCCAACACTTCTCTGTAGGTGTCCCAGCGTGTTACATTGCAGAATTGCCGACCAGCAGTTCGAAATCCCAGGATATTGGTGAAGATGGGGAAATGGTCGCTGCCCATCTTGTCTGGAGCCGTGGTTGATGATACCAGAAGGTCCGTGGAGTGAAGTACAAGGTCTATTGCACTCCATGAATCAGGTGGCCTGAAAAATGTAGGTTTACCATCGTTCGCCACACATAAGTCGGCAGCATCTGCAGCTGCTAGAAGTTCCCTGCCTCGAAAATCTACACTCTTATCTCCCCAGAGTGGATGGTGCGCGTTAAAATCACCACAGATTATTCGAGGAGCGGGACATCGAGTGCAGAGGTCCTTTAGGAAAGTCTCCATAGAGACCTTTTTTCGTGGGCTTATGTACACCGATACCACACTCAGTTTTCGGTTTCCCAGACACACTTGCACAGCAGCGACTTCCAGTGAGTTGGAACAGAGGTCTTGCACTGGTAGGGTGACGTGAGGTATTTCCCGCCTTATGTATATCATTGCGCTTCCATTTGCAAACGACGTTATGCTCGGGTTGCCGTGTCGGATGTACCCTGGGAGCGTCCTTGCATTCGGTAGACCGGCTTCGGAGAGGGCTAGAATCGGTATTGGAATGTCGCGCAGGAAAAGGTTGAGTTCGCACAGGCGTTTTAGAAGACCGGCGCAGTTCCATTGCATTATTAAGGGCACTTTTGAAGGACGAAATAGACCAGGTGGGCGAGACAGCGCCATTATTCTACAGTGTGTTTGTGGAAGCAGAGCAAAGTAACACTGACTCTATAGCCAGGACTGCTCCCAACATATCCTTCGTTGAACTCGCAGGCATCTTAGCGACGTGTGAACGCAGTGCTGTGAACAGAGCGCGAATAACGTGCTCGAGGTTTTCTTGCTGTTGGCTTCCAGATGGTACTTGAGATGGGCTCAGTGCATCAGCGTAGGTGCGCTTGGCGGACTCTTTCGTGATACATTTCTCACCAGCGTTGAGCACTTGCGTTGACTCAGTACCAGCTCTTGTCGGATTTAGGCGTGGAAAATTTCCTGCGCACTCGTTATCCGAAACGCCAAGTTGTGGCGCGCCGGAAGTCTTCTTTGTGAGCGATGGTTCGTTCACAGTCTTCGGGCCGAGGACAAACGTCTTATTTTTTCGCTGCGCAGCTGTTCGTGCTGGACATCGGCCGTAGCTAGCTGGGTGGTCGCCGCCACAGTTTGCACACACAAGTTTTTCTTTACTTGTACACGTCTTAAAGTCATGAGGCCCCCCACAGCGCTTACACCTTTGCTCCCCACGACAGTGCTTGGCAACATGTCCAAAACGCTGACATTTAAAACAGCGTGGTGGCGTCTCCACGTAGTCTACCAGCTCGTGTCTGGTGAAGCCAAGGTTGATTTTCTCTGAACGTTCCGAATTGGGAGCGAATGGGAGAACTACAGAGTCAGTGCGCCTTGATTCCCATTCGGTGGATGAGGTTTGGACTCGTCGTATGATCCTTCTTGCGTGGTATACTCCCTGAGGTCTCAGGTAGGTTAACAGCTCTTCGTCCGAGTACCATCTTGGGACCCCTTTTATAATGCAGGTATTTTTCATGTAGCTGTGTGGTACACGGGCAGATATGGCAAGGCCGCAGATAGTGTTTGTCTCTAGAAGCATATTAGCTTGATGTTCTGTCTCTATATCCAAAAGCAGGGCTCCCTGTGCTGTGAAACGGCTCTTAACTGGGGCTCCACCGAGAATCGTTTCAATTTCCGAGTATAGGTGAATAGGATTCACTTGCCTCAAATTAGCTCCTTCGGATGTTGGAGCGATTAAGACAGGAATGCCCACCGTCCTGTCTTTGCGATGTCGTACAAGGCGGAAACCACCCTCGTCCATGTCTTGATCTGTGAGGTTCGCCCCGTTGTGGTCCCCGACGACAGTTGATTCGTCCTCTGATTCAGCGCTGTGTTGTCGCTTGCAGTCAGGTATGCTTGCGCAGACCAGCTGGTGCTTCTGACCTTGTGTCACACCTTGGGAGGTCATGGCGGCGCTCTCCCTGATGCTTGTCTCGTTTCTTCTAGCACCTTTCGACGCGGCGGGCTGCGCAGCACCCGTCGGTCGCCGATACGGCAGGTACCTTTTCGAGTCGTCCGACGTCTTGAGCAGTGCTGAGCCGTAATATCAACGAAAATAAACGATAACAGCAGACAGAGCTACTTAGCCAAGCAGCAACAGCTTCGTCGTCTTCTTCCTTCCTCGAAAGTAACTTTCACTGCATTTCCAAGCAGATGCAGTTATTGTCACTGCATTCACAGAAACAGGCGCGAACGAGAGGCAATGCACCCACATGCCACGCAAACGACGCAGGTTCGATCCACACTCAGACCCAAACGATCCGGGCTCGATCCCTAACTGGCAGCCAGAATTTTTTTATATTTCTCGATTTTTCGGTGACGCAGTGGTGATGATTTCTCAATCACAACCAACGACGCCGACGCCGACGCCGCGATTTCTGCCACACCAGCTCCTTGGCGCTATCGCGTTAAAATAGAACAGTTGAAGGAACTTGTACGAACATCCGAGAAAAAGCTAAACAGTCGCCCAAGACATGCAATGTGATTATCATCTTATTTACTTCGCGGTTTTGTTGAATTTGCTTAATTATCAAGCTCTTCTTGCGCTTCTTTCTTGGTGTATTAGCGCTGTTTAGTGCGTCCGTTATAATCATGTAACAGTACTGGGACGTGAAACGCCAACAGTTATTAGTCCAGTCTTGTCGTCTCCAAGCTCTGGGCTGAGGAGGATGCAACAGCGCACGGCACACACGAAGAGAGAACGACAACACGAGAGCCGTAGTTTCGTTATCTTTGGTTCGTGTCGTACGAGCTGTCATTCACCTCCAACCGTGAATCACTAACTAGCCAAACGTCGCTCTATCTTGCTGGTGATACTGCACTAACAGCCCACGAGCCAACAAAACCGCTGTAGACACCAAAGAATTGAAAACACCTGTTTTATGTAAGGGTCTATCACTTAAGCAAAGACTATCAAAAGGTAGGTAAAAAGGAAAAAAAAACTGCATGATTCAATGGGTGCTCACCACACACGATGCGTTCCCCCTCTCCTGGCAGAGTTCAGCACACAGCCTCCGTGATCAGTCAACCAAGCAACAATGTGATGTGATGACGTAACAGATTTGGACAATCTTTGACGTCCTGCATCCGTCATAAGGTGAGCATAGAGTTTCTCAAAATTAACTAGAGGGCACTCTGGCGCTGCGATCGTTCAGCGACCATGGGAATGATAGGGAGTACACATATTTGCCTAGTCTTCGTACTTGCGGGCGGCGAATCGTACTTGCGGCTTCGTTTATTGCTGTGTTTCGATTTTGTTTTGAAAGAAAAATTCAACCCTTTTAAACTTCGTGACCCAATTTGGAAAGGTAATTTTAAAAAAAGGTGATGAAGCGCAATTGCTGAACATTTGCCGATTTTTGTTTCATGAGAAAACAGCTTCAAGCCACACGAACAAACACGGAGTCAAAAGCAGGCCAAAAGTACGAAGTTTAGACAAATGTGTGTACTACCCATCACTCCCATGCTCGCTGAAGCGCCGTGTGTTGCAGCTCCCATAGACACTAGCGCCAGAGTTCCATCTAGTAAGTATTGTGGGAAACTCTATGATGGTGAGGTCCTCACTTGATGACTTCATGCGCCACTCGTATTGACAGGGATGTCAATTTTAGCGTTTGATGAAACATATAGGCTTTCACCTTTAAATTATTACGTAGACACCACTAGGCCAATTCAAAAGTCTCCCGAAGAGCACAAGAGTAAAAGCTTCGGCTAGAGGATCTGGTTTCATGATGAACTTCACAGCGCGAGAACAGAGGGGAAAAATGAACAGAGTATAAAAAAGCATTGGCTTGAGTTGGAAGTCAGCTCTCTTTACTGCTCTGCCCCATTTTTTTTTCTATGTTTTCGCGCTGTAAAATTCACCATCATGTTCCCGAGGACCATTGTGTCGTTTACAAATGAGCACAACATTTCTTCCACGCAGTTCAAACATACGAAGGGGAGTACCTGACAGTGACGCGGGTGAGTCGGGTACACATGGGCGCCTACCTGTGCATCGCCAACAACAACGTGCCATCACCTGTCAGCCGAAGGATCATGCTGCACGTGCACTGTGAGTTTGTCCTCTCTATCTGGTCCACTACCCATTTTTCTCTTCTGTCCTTCCATTCCGAACGCTTCAATCAATCAATCAATCAATCAATCAATCAATCAATTACATATTTATAAATTACTTTATACAAATGTACGGAAGAGGGGAATTTCAGCGCTTGTTTTTTTCTTAAGCGTACGAATAATTACAAGTAACGGAAAATACAGCAAGTATATTGTGTACACGATATACCTTATATTGATAATCCGACATGATTCTATATATATTGATATATATATTGACATGATTCTACATATATTGATTATATTGATAATCCGACATGTTCTGTCGTCACAATGCACCAACAAGCTTAAATTTTGGCAGTGCCGACATGAAGTTCAGAAAGCTGCAACCGGTAGCCTCTTTGGTTCATTCCGTTTTTCCACAGCAGGGTAGCAAACCGGACATGCATCTGGATTGACCTCTTTTGAATTGTTTCTCTCGCTCAGTGTACAAATTCGCATGTTCTAATGTAAAACCAGATGATCCCTAGCACTGAAGTATCTGAAACATGGGTGCTTTTTAATAGGGCTTGCCTTCCCTAAACCACACAAACGCACAATCGTTGGACAGGAGACGTGAGTTCTCATGTCGATGGCGGTGTCGCCGCAGTTCCACCGGTGATCTGGATTCCGCTCCAGCTGGTGGGTGCCCCGCAGCGCGCAAACGTGACGCTGGATTGCCACAGCGAGGCGTATCCACCGGCGGTCAACTACTGGGCCAAGGACAACCACAAGATCTTTCTGGACAACGAGAAGTACTCGCTGAGCGTGCGCAAGGGCGGCTACAAGGCCCACATGCAGCTCAGCGTGAGGCAGCTGCGTGAGCGCGACTTCGGCACGTACCGCTGCCTCTCCGAAAATCTGCTCGGCTCCACTGAAGGCTCTGTCAAGCTATACGGTGATTATCTGAAGCATGTCACTTGGCAATTTTGCCGCGCTTATGATGCGGTGGCATCAAACCAAACTTGTGCACCCAATGTCAGGTTGTCCTGATGGTAAATCCTGGCAAATCTACCAGGATATAATAGACCACGAAGATCGGGATCATTCAGTGGTAGATCCAGAGATTTGATATGTGTGGTTTAACGTCCCAAAACCACCATATGATTATGAGAGACGCCGTAGTGGAGGGCTACGAAAATTTCGACCACCTGGGGTTCTTTAACGTGCACCCATATCTGAGCACACGGGCCTACAACATTTCCGCCTCCATCGGGAATGCAGCCGCCGCAGCCGGGATTCGAACCCGCGACCTGCGGGTCAGCGACCGGCGAGTACCTTAGCCACTAGACCACCGCGGCGGGGCAATGGTAGATCCAGAGAGTATGGTGGGTTCTGGACACCGCATCCTTATCGTTTTTGTCATTTCCTTGTCCTCGTTCTTCTTCCACAGCGGCACCTTCACGCCAGCCACTAACAATACCACGTAATGCAAAACGACTGCATAGGCATATTAATGACCTCTGTTACGCAACACTTGTAAAACTGCTTCCAATCAAGGTGAACCGCTAGTCAATCTCAAATGACATTATACTGAAACACGAGCCAAGCTTTTGGTCTTTGTAACAGGTCCTTGTCGATTTCTAGTCAAATGAGCTGGTTCAGAGCACATGTACACTCAATGCTTTCTCCTCAAAGAAACCGTACAGTTTTCACGAGATGCTGAGGATGCTGGTGGCTGGTTCCATTTTACCTCATAGTTTTTATTAATCCACATGTGCTGCATGGAAATTATTATATTATGACTGGAATAATAACGTTGACTGCACCAACCAGCACGAGAAATACTCCGAGAGTTGCACAAAGGTATTGAACTTGAGGATTGATTGAACCTCTTATCTTTGTTGCAGATCACTGCTCAGCAGCGTCTTTCAACCCCCATATAACCAATTACGTTTACAGCTGTATATATGCGCCGTACCGTCCAAAATAAGTAACACTGCTTACCTGTATTATCAGGATGCTAGAGTAAACCGAATAAAATAACTGGAATCATACAATGTCTATCCATTCATGTAGAATAGCCCATCAACCTGAAAAAAACAAATGTTGAGGTTTGGTAGTTTCTGCTGCACACCGTTGGGTCTGTTGCCTACACGTGAACAGTTACGTTCATTAGCCACTATATTGAAACTAAATGATCCTTTTTAACAGATACTGAAACATAATTGCCCCACGTGGTTAACCCCAATATCCCTCCGAATAGAATCAAACCACACAAAATTTCATCGGGAAAAAATACTTGTATTAAACTTATATTGTTAAGAATTTAGCTGTGTAGAAGTTACCCGTTTGTTTTATTACGCGCAGAGCTCTCGCCGCATTCTCGGCAGCAGCAAAGTCTGGATTCGCACCAAGCGGATAGGCATCCACACGGCCGAAGTTCCTACCACGGTGAGTGGCATTTTAAGCTCTAAGAAAGCGAATTAAACGTTTAGAAAGGGAAGACAACTAAGAGGAAGAAGCAGAGACAGTGACACAGAGGTGGCTACTTACAACTGAGGTTTATTTTGAAAAACAAAAAAAAAACGCCTTCTCCAAAGTTCTTACAGAGCATCCGCGAAAACAGCATACTAACTCGCTGCGCGAATGTGATCCATGCGAACCACCGCTGATCGACAAAATCACTTTCTTTCTTGGTCATAAACATAGAAGCTGCGCTTACGCATTTTTACGGACCAAGTTTCCAAATATGGTATGTCTCAATGAATTCTCTTTCATGCTTCGACTTAGCCTTACCAACAATAGATACATTTCCAAACATGGGTGTACTGCCACACGGCTTACAATCTAGCGAAAGGTAGCCACCAGTGCCAGAGAATACATTTGCATGGCAGTTTTGTCATTATTATAAAATATTATTACTATTAATAATAATTGACACCGTATTCCCAAAAGGAGCCCTGGTGGGATGCGAAGCAGCATCGTTGCGCACGGGTGGCGTCACGGGTTGAACGGCGTAAACGCGGGTGCTGTGGTGAACGCTGGAAGATTCGTTTGAAGCTAAGGCTGGTGTTGCGATGGCCGGCGCGTCAGGTTTGTTGCGCCTGAACCGACTGGTCTTCTTCTTTCTTAAGCGATTCTTAAATGAGAGAAAAAGAAGATAAAAGTGAGCCCCGTAACTGTCTGCATCATAGTGCGACACCTCAACAGTGGCTCACGAGGAATGGCGATAAGGAGGGATTAAAAGGGATAGGAAGGATTAAGGATAGGGATATAGATGAGGACAGTCACATACAGAGGTAAAGATGATATAGAGAAAGATGGGGACACGGTCGAAGGAGTCCGAGGACAGGGTACCACTCAGCGAGAGCTTCACGGCGCCAGGAAATGGCGGAGGGCGAGCCGGTCGGCTAGAGCTGCGCTGCCGTCAGAGATCGCGGGGACACAACCGGTCGGCACGGAATCCAGCGAGCGAGTCGGCGATGTAGCGAGCGGCCGTCGCGGTAGCGGAGGGAGTGGCGGTAGCGACAGGCTTTGCGTGTGAATGGACGGGAAGGCAGCAGCGGGCGCTGCGAGTGCGCGGCAGGCGAGGGGAGAGTGACGTGAGCGCTCACTGCGCGGGGAGCGTGACGTCAACGCGCAGCTTCGGCGTGACCTACTTGGCACCGCTTCAACACTTGCGGGGAGGGGAGCGCGTTGTGGTGCGTTTGTACGGACGCACGGGGGACAGCGTTACACAGGCTAGTGAAAGAGCTGCTTCGCATCTATTAACAACAAGAATTGAACTTTCACGTTCCAAAAGCAAGATATGCTTATCAGAAATGGCCTAGTGGAGGGCCAAGGAAATTTTGACTATATGGTGTTCTTTAACGTGCATTCACATTGCACAGTACACGGGCCTCCATCGCTCCGCTTCCACTGAAATGCGACCATCACGGCCGAGATCAAATTCGCGACACTCAGGTCAGCTGCCGAGCACTCTAGCCATCGTTCGGCCGAGCTGGACTGCATAACAGTCTTCTATTCTTTTTATTTTCCCATTTGTAATAGTTAGATAAGCTTTCTTAAAACGCCAATCTTTATAGGAAACATACTCTTTAATGTCAGTATTCTGACACTATCTGTAATGTCATGCCACTTATTTTTGACACCCCCTAGTTGAACTGAGACAGCGCAACCTTTCGTCTTTTATTTCTTTCATTACAAGAAAATAACATTTTATGCTTCCTTTTAATGGCGTATTCAAACCATGAAATGAGTGCATGTCGTTAAAGAGGAAACGTACTTTTTATGAAGAACATGTTGGTTCTTCATCATCTGAAGGATGTGTGGTGCCTCCCGCATTAGCGACAATTCCCCCCACAGGAAAACTAACGTTGGTGCTCTGTCACTCTGAAATGTCGCTATTTAACGCATATTATCGTTCCCATACTAATTTTGTCAATAGTCATTCTACGAAGTATTTATGCTCTCGTTTTTCGGTCTTGTTTTGTTTTAGATGGGAAATATTTCACCTCCGAAGACGGCTTTTCTGAGAACGAGGGGCCTAAGGATGGTACCTCACAAGGCAAGTAAATGAACGAGAGATGGATTACATGCGGAGGAGCATTTCTTTGCGCACTCCAAGCACATTTGACACACACACACACACACACACAATATATATATATATATATATATATATATATATATATATATATATATATATATATATATATATAGTGATCATCCCCTTAGCGTAAACTAAGATTAGTATGGGAGCGTAAGCTGGATTGACGAATATGACACGCAGGTCAAGACATCAATAATGTCACAATCCGCCACGTACATCGTCAAATACTTCTCGCCAGACAGTGGCACATACCCGCACGCGACTATGTGCCACTGGTATTCGGATGTTTGACACCTGCAGGTGATTGATTTACACTTAGTATCTTCCCAGGAGCGACGCAGACACACATAGACAAGTTTAACGCGTGAGCGTTAAGAAAAAGCTGACATCGGCAGCGCGCCCGACGAATGCAACGAATAAATTTCAGGGTCTCATCAGGAACCGAACCCAGGCATTCTGCGTGGCAACCAAGAATTCCACCACAGAGCCACGCCAGGTCTCGGAACTACTTTTCAATGTTCGCGAAACGTCAAAAGTGGTTGCAGTGCTGGCTATCCAATTTTAAAAACATTGCATATGTACTCCCCAATGCTATTTACCGCGTGCTTACAGGAGGTTTTCAGATGCCTAGAATGGGAACAGTTAGGGATAAGAGTTAATGGAGAGTACCTTAGTAACCTGCGCTTCGCCGATGACATTGCATTGCTGAGTAACTCAGGGGACGAATTGCAACTCATGATTACGGAGTGAGACAAGGAGAGCAGAAAGGTGGGTCTTAAAATTAATCTGCAGAAAACGAAAGTAATGTACAACAACCTCGGAAAGGAGCAGCGCTTCGAGATAGGTAATAGTGCACTTCAAGTTGTAAAAGAGTATGTCTACTTAGGGCAGGTAATAACTGCAGAGCCGAACCACGAGATTGAAGTAACTAGAAGAATAAGAATGGGGTGGAGCACATTCGGCAAGCACTCCCAAATTATGACAGGTAGATTGCCACTATCCCTCAAGAGGAAGGTATATAACAGCTGTATCTTGCCGGTACTTAGCTACGGAGCAGAAACCTGGAGACTTACAAAGAGGGTTCAGCTTAACTTGAGGACGACGCAGCGAGGAATGGAAAGAAAAACGGTAGGTGTAACCTTAAGAGGCAAGAAGAGAGCAGAGTGGATTAGGGAACAAATGGGGGTTAAGGATATTATAGCTGAAATCAAGAAGAAGAAATGGACATGGGCCGGGCATGTAGCGCGTAAACAGGATAACCGCTGGTCGTTAAGGGTAACTAACTGAATTCCCAGAGAAGGCAAGCGGGTTAGGGGGAGACAGAAGGTTATGTGGGCAGATGCGATTAAGAAGTTTGCGGGTTTAAATTGGCAGCAGCAAGCACAGGACCGGGTTAACTGGCGGAACATGGGAAAGGCCTTTGTCCTGCAGTGGGCGTAGTCAGGCTGATGATGATTATGATGATGTACTCCTATGATACAGCCGTCCCGACGGGCTAACGTCAATTGCAGTTAGATGTCATGCGCTGAAGTTCATTTATGTAGTAAGTGTAGCAGTGTCCAGGCCTACAATCCTATAGCGAAAACCAGCACTTCAATGAGATTATCGCTTCTGATGTTGCTAATACTCATGTTCCTGTTGGCATAGTTGCGCAAGTTCAGAGAACTGGTTATATGAACATCTGCAACTCTTCAACATATGTCTGCGTGCAACATTTATACATATATTTAACGTAATTTCATGACGTGTCGCTATACAAAAAAATACAAAATTGTCCCGTCCCTTTCGCATGCTTCCCAACGTCGATTTTCAAGGTGTGTGGGATCTGCCTTTTTTTTTTTTTTGCTCTTGAATAACTGCTGGAAAGCTAGGTAGCGCACGAACAAATGAAGGAGTGCAGCAAAATTATCAAGTTAATAATGCACTCATGTTGACAAAGTAGGAATAAAAAGAAATGACAGCATATCCACGGAGTGAATGATGATGAGCTGGACAAAGCGTCCATCCGTCCATCCGTTGGTCTGTCTGTCTGTTACGAAAGCAATCTCACCGCGCTCAGCGTCCCTCTTCCTTTTATGGTAATATAAGTTTACTATCGAAAGTGAAAATTTCCTTCCAGCCATTTGTAGCATAAGGCTGCAAGAAAACCCGCATGAACTCTCCAGAAAGCCAGCTCTACGGATACAACCTGGTGGAACATTTTATTGCGGCTTCGTGCTGCAACCTTTTTTTCTTTCGAGAGTCTTCAACCCCTTTCAGGCTTCTGCCGATCTGATTTGTTATAATCGTCTTCGGTCTCACGGTCTACCATATTTAGATAGACAATAACTTGTTATTGATTCCCCCGGAGACTTCAGCCTGGTTCATCGACTGGCTCGCTATTTTAGGTGTGTTGTGTTGACTACGAAATATGCATTGATAATACATACATGTAAACACCAAGAGACACGCATACACATACACAAAAAATATATTCATAAAGTACCGTTTAGGGGTGTACTCCTCTAAAACATCAACGACGGTTGTGTGTTGCTCGTCGAGCTGGCGCGGCTTGTGTAATTGAAAACACTTGCACGTTTTGTTTTCTTTTTCATTTTCAGACACAAGCGGCGGCATTTCTGCCTTGGACGACGCCCTTGCAAGACTCGTAGCTCTTCTACTGGTGCTGCTGTGCGCGAGCTGAAAGAGAACTTTGCGGGTGCAAGATCTTGTGTGCATATAGCAGTGAGAAATCGTTGTCGTCAGTGCGGTGGACCCTATAGGGACGACGCTGTGTGGATATATCTTTTGTTTTAGAGTTTATTAAAAAAAAATGGCTGAGTGTTTTCTGGTGTCGTCGGGATGCGTGGCGTTCTCAACGCAAGCAACGGGTCCGTTTCGTCTCACACATTCGTGTGTTACTGCGAAGGCGGGAAAGTCGCGTTGAAAAATTGGTTCTGGGTCCACTTGGTTACTCAGAAAGATTTCGAAGATTGATTTAACACATTTAGCTGCTTAAAACCTTCACATTTAGCTGCTTATCAAGAACCACTACGACGTGCCTCACAAACGGGGCATCGTTACAGCGCGCAAAGCCCCAGCATTTATTTTAAAATGTAAACTGAGAAATACCATTCGCTAACAGCAACGCGATGTTGCCCTTAAGCGCCTGCTGGCTTTGGCTGGAGTGTCGTGCGCTGATGAGGTAAGTCTATTTCATAGCTACTTCCCACGTGACCTATGTAAAGATTGATTAGCGCCACGATCTTTGTCTAAGCAGGAGGCCGAAACACCTTATGCCTCCCATGTGGATGGATGGATGGATGGATTGATATAGCTGTACGCTTTAGATCGGGCGGTGGCTAGCCCCACCAAGCCGTAATACTTAATGAACCAAAAACTAGATTTTTTCCCTTAAATAGTGAGGTAGAGAATTCTTACTTTGCAGTGAAGGGTTTAATTTTCACTTGTGCCCTGACTTTAGCCACCAATCAGATAACCTCCTTCTAGTTAATTCTACCCGCTTAAAGTCTATTTTGCCCTCCCTGTCCCTAAACCCCAGTGCTTTGAAAAACTCTGCGCCATCATCCTGAACTATAGGGTGAAGCCTTTTACAGAACATTATCAAGTGCTCGGCAGCTTCTTCTTCCTCTCCACTCGCACTGCATACTACTGCATATGTATTCGCTCTCGGCAGCGCCGCTTTTAACACTGGCGGTTGCCGGGCGTACTACAAGAAAAAACAACACCAACAAAAAATTTCTTTCTTGGCGTCACTGGTGAGGTCCTAAAATAGAGTGAAAGGACGAGCGATTGAGAGGAGGATGCATCCTTGCCGCGGAAGCCTTCCTTTCCCACTTCGCGTGCAAGTGGAATGAACTCGTGCCTTCTCTCAAATCCGCTGACCGCTTGGGCAAAACAGCCATGAAATTTTGTTAACGTTCTTTTCTATTTTTTTAATCTTATATTTTTTTTAATTTTTGTACGTGTTTTCTGAAGAGGCGAAATTTAAACTGATTTCTCACGAAGACGAAACTCGATCGCCACAAGTGGAATGCATTTTTATCGCATGTTTTGTGTAAAAAAAAAACAAATATATACACGCAGTCTCTAAGTGTCAATCTATAAACGCAGATTTAATTTACGACTTACATATGGACATAATGAGCAAACCCTGAACCCAGAATATTCGAACCAATGCGAAAATTATTCACAATCACGACTAGGACACGTCGTATTTGACTCAATCACGTTTGTTGTGACGGCGCGCACAGTTTTCTTGCAAGAATTAAGTGCCAAACGAGACTGATATTCAGAGAAACAGAGAAGTTTGAAGTGATCAGAAGTTTTTCGAGAAAGTACGTCAATGGAAGCAGTGTTTCGGCAAGTTGACTTGTATTCGTTAGGGCAACAGCGTTGCCTTGACGAAAAAAAGTTCGCTTGTCGAAACGTTGGCTCCATCGACAGTCTCTGTAATAACTTTTAGAAGCATTAGTTCATCACGTGTATTTGAATTATATTATTAAAAAAGAAGACTCGCGAATTTCGAAACCGCTGCTACAAGAATTTCACGAGCAGGGAGCAGCCTATACGTAACATCATTTGGAATACACGCCAAAAGTAAAATAAACTAAACTATATAGCCAAGCCAACTCGAATTCAAGACTTTCAATAAACGCATTTTACCGACGGGAGCTTGGCTTCCACCTTCACCAATTAGTCAAGCGACACTGCATTTCTCGCAGTCTAGGCAGGCTTGCGGAGAACTGGGTTTACTCATATGTACTCGTACAAAATCAACACCTGCTCAAATAATGGCTCCTAAATTTTGTACTCACATATTGCCTTTAGGAAACCCTGAAAAACCTTAGCGGAACTAGAAACCCCCGTGTTAGCACACCGTAGAGCCACGGAAAATATGCGTTGCCAGATTAAGCCATCTTCAACCAATGCATGGTTGACTTGTTTCGGCGTAGTTCACTGCGGCTTCCGTTCTCTGCCCGCCACAACTTGCCGTCTTTATCTTTTACATGGTTGACATAACAACCGAGCGAGATAACTGCAGCGCGATTCAACGCTGATCGGGGGGCGAGAAGGAGCGGAGGCAAGTGCTACGAACGCAAGTCAATCACTTCCTGCGCTTCGCCCGATATAAAATTCACGAAATAAAGAATAGGAAATTACATATAAAAAGAACTTTTTTTTTCACAGGGGCACCGATTTTTGTTTGTAAAAACTCGTGAAAGCCAATAAATGCGAACACTCACATCAACTTCCCTCCGTTCAATATGATGCCCGGCAACAGCTACGAGCGTGCATGTTCTTTCAAACCGAGAGTAGCGCAGAGTTTCCGGAGCCTGGTCTAGGTAAGAGGTAGTCGGTTTAACGCACAGCTGCTGTTTTTCTCTTTTTAATTGGTCCTGTTTTTGTTGTTTTTTTTTTTTGTCATGAGACACCTTCAACGGGCTGATCGTGGCGGAAACTTACAACGAGCGCAGCCCTGGTTAGTGCTGAATGTAGGTAACTAAATTGAGTGTGTATATATATATATAATATATATATATATATATATATTATATATATATATATATATATATATATATATATATAATATATAGGATATATATTATACTATTAGGGAAAGACGTGTATACCTAAGGGTTTTTTCCGTATTTTGACACAATAATAATGAGATCAGACAATAATGCCAAAGAACGTATAGGGGAAGTTATTAGAAATAATTGAATGTAAATAAGAAGAAAAGTGGATGAAAAAATAACCATCCGTGAGCAGGAATCGAACCTACGACCTTCGAATAACGCGTCCGATGCTCTAATCACTGAACTACCACTGAGCTACAGTGTTTTACCACAATATTATTGAGATCAAACAGACAGACAGGGAAGGCCGCTGTGGTAGCTCAGTGGTTATAGAGCATCGAACGCGTTATTCGAAGGTCGTAGGTTCGATTCCTGCTCACGGCTGGTTATTTTGTCATCCACTTTTCTTCTTATTTACATTCCATTATTTCTAATAACTTCCCCTGTAGATTCCTTGGCATTACTGTCTGTTTGATCTCATTAATATTGTGTTAAAACACGGAAAAACGAGCCCTTAGGTATACACTTCTTTCCCTTATTTCATTGAACGAGGGTCTCGTACTGGCTGACTTGGTGTGTTTAGGTTGTATAAGAGGGACAATTAATCAGCTGCCCGCTCATAAAAAGTTCACGTGCTACGTGACGCCAAAACATGCGCATAAGAGTGTTTTCACACTCGTCGTTTGGCTTATAGATGGCGCTGACTGCCACTCCTACTTCTAAATTCACATATAAACCCAAAAAAGTGGATGAAGGGAAGGCCGCTGTGGTAGCTCAGTGGTTAGAGCATCGAACGCGTTATTCGAAGGTCGTAGGTTCGATTCCTGCTCACGGCTGGTTATTTTGTCATCCACTTTTCTTCTTATTTACAATCCATTATTTCTAATAACTTCCCCTGTAGATTCCTTAGCATTACTGTCTGTTTGATCTCATATATATAATTCCTGCATTTTTCCAGAAAGCGATACTTATCACATATGTGAATCCGGCCTCCGTCACACATGTTGCTAATCGAGGCAGTAGCGAAGTTGTGGCGCGATCGTTTCGCTATCGCCTGAATCAGCGATATTACAAAGTGCTGCCCTGTGCACTGCTGCAGCAACTCATGCGCTAGCACAGTTTTGGTAGCGTATAACTATGTTTTATTTTTATGGACGTCAAAGCGGTGACTGGAACTTCGAATGGCGCACTGGAAAAGGCCAACGAGCAACCTAATACTATACCAGGCGCTGTTCTCAGTTCGCTTTTATTTCGAACTAGGAACTGAGTAGTTGGTTCACAAGGTGTGTAAAGCTAAGCCTGGCCTTTATAGAGTATTTTAAGCTTGGTTCACAGACAAGTTTTAAAAGCATTCGAGCCCAGAAGCGGCACTTGTACTTGAGCAACTTCGCGAGCCGATTAACGGAGTCTACTTTAGAAAAAGGATAAAAAAATCTGTAGAACGGCTTCTTTTTACTATTAATCGACGCACTGTCGTTCACAGACTACTTTTCGCGATGATCGTGTTTTTTTGTTTTGTTTTGTTTTTGTTACGCGGCCATTCAAGATTCCAGCGAGAGTACGCGAACATCATAAATGTCGTTCTTTTTTATCAATGCGTGTGTGTGTTTATTTCCTGGCGAGAACGCTTACTGTCATACCAGAATTTAGTATGTGTGCGCTCTTTGACACGGTCACGAAAACCGCCAGAGAACCGCGTCTCGTAATGGCGAATTAAGAAAACAACGACAAAGGAACGAGTACGTAATCGTCTGAAAGCATGCAGATACGAGGGCGGTATGATGATCAACTCCCCCAGCAAGGGATTAACTCAAGTTCAGAGAGAGAGAGAGATAAACATACAAGGAAAGGCAGGGAGGTTAACCAGACGCACATCCGGTTTGCTACCCTGCACTGGGGAAGGGATAAAGAGAAGAAAAGAGGTTGCAGAAAGATGAGAAGGTACACACAATCACGAGCACACTCAGGGAGCACACACAGTTTACAGGCGGTCGCTCAGGTTTGTTGACTTAAGGTAAAGTAGCAGTGCTTTAGTTGCTTTCTGCGCAACTGAGGCAGATGCCCAAGGTCCTAGTATCTTCTGCACACAAAATGGTCCGGGGTC